CATCAGTTAACTTGGAGGCTTCGGCTAGTTTGATTTCGATTTGATAACTTCCTAAGTCAAGTTGATAGAGCTCAACATTTACAGCAGCAGCACTCGACTTACCTTGATGATACTGGAGATAACTTCTTTTATGAGATCAGCCTGGAGGAATGGGTAATATTCTGGACAGAATTATCAACATCTTTGATGAGGCAGGGATAAATCTTGCTTGCCAAAATCGAAACTTCCTCCCTACGAATATTTGATATGAACAAAGGAATGCATAAGTAAAATTCATTGAGGGATCTAAATTCCTCGAATGAGATCTCTGTGGTGATCTCCGTTCTTTGTCTTTTAGAGGAGTTCTAGATTGAACTTTGTCTAGCTCCTATAGAGATATGCCAGGAGTAGTCTCCAAGATCTCATAATCGTGTTTGGAATCTCTGGGAAGTGTTTGATAAAACTATGGGACCAGGCAAAGAATAAGCATCAACTTTGTTTGCTGTAGTTTCACTGATAGTAAACGCATCCTCTAACCGGACACGTTTCCTTCTCAACAATTAACCTTCCTCACCTCGACTCCCTTCCTCTTCACTAATGGTGATCTCTTCATTTATATGGTCATAAGTAGCTTGAGACGTAGAAGTCCCTTCAAGCTACACGATGGTTTCCTCAGTTCTAATTGTAGACCTCGGTGATTTTCTCATTCCGAGCACACTGGATTTGGGGGAAGATCGAGTTCGAGAGGTATTCTCTCTTAACTGGGGCTAAGCGACTAGAGGGGTGTGGACCTCTCAGCTCTCCATCTTCAGTCTTGAGCAATCATTTCAGATCCGCAACCTTGAGGATCATTACATCGAAGGATGCTATCAAACCGCTTGGGTGGCCTAGAAGACATATCTACAAGCCAAAAGAAGGAAATGAAAAAATATGACATAGAAAAGAAAAGGCATATTCAAGTGTAAGTGACTACCTTCCGAAAGTTCAAGAGCTAAACCACAAGTGTGTTGCACAACCAGCTAAAACTGATCGTGTCTCCTTTGGTTAGTTCTGGTGGAAGATCAATCAAGCCAGCCAAAACTAATCTTGTCTCCTCGATTAGTTTTAGTGGAGGATCAATAAACGCTACATAAAGAAAAAATCCAAAAATAAGAATCCTAAATGACCAATCTAAGAAATTTTACGAATACCAAAAGGTAATTTAAGCTTACTTAGTCTACTAAACTCAGTAGGCACTTCATTACTCCTTTGTTGGTCAACATCAGCCAATTACCAAATACATAGAACCACTTTTCTTTCGAATGTTTGATGGAAGTAGGCCCGTTGACAATGGAGGTAAACTGTTTCTCCATAACAGAGTCATTTACTGATTTAGCAAATCAAGGAAGGCAACTCATATAGAAATGACAGAGGCTTTAGAGGATTTCTTCACAGCATGAGTTGCCAACATTTGTTCTACTCACAGAATTTTCAATCTATTTTTATTGAATCTCCACCACATATACCAGAAACCTAAAAGAGTACCCCAACCGTTTGGTGCTAACTGTGCAGGGGCTAAGTTAATTGCATTTAAATAAAAAGTTGCGCAAGAGGGTGGAGAGGAATATGAACCCATATTCGAACATTTGAAGATAAAAACTCACACAACGTACGGGAGGCTTTTCTATAGTTTCTCCCTCGAAAGGAATTCTAAGTTCGATATCATCAAGAATCGAGTAATTATATCTAATGATGCTAAGAAGTCCTTCACGACAATTTGAAGGACCGAAATCTTAATTCAAACCCTCACTTTTCCCTTAATTCAAACAAGAACTCCTAGAACGATGATGAGACCTAAGAACTCGAGTCCTAGAAGAGGCTTGGGAAGAAGAAGGTCTATGTGAACTGTGGTTAAAAATCTTCATTATAGCCATTAATCACTAAAATCGAGAACATCTAAGTGAAAATAGGTTGAAAATCGACAAAATCTGGGTTAGAAAGTTACTTAGAAGCCAGAAAGATGGATGAAATCGAACGAATTTCTTCATCGACCTCAGGGTAAACGATTGTGAAGAAGATTTTTGCCTTAATCGACTGAATCTTCTTGAGAGAGAATAGCACGAAATAAGCGAGAGCGAGATTGAAACCGTAAAGATTACTTAAGTTTAAATATGTAACAACTAAATAGATTGAGTTTGTAAAATGGGGAGAATGGTGATGACGAGGCAAAAAAGCCAAACTAGTTAAGAGGACAACTCCGGAAAAGTCAAATAAACTCAAATATTTATGAAGTTGTAGGCTAATGATAAGGTGAAACTTCGTCTAAAGTTCGACAAGAAGCCACGTGTGTTGACCTCGAGAGACGAGAGTTCGGAATTCAATTCGAAAAGCTTATTGTCGAACACAATTATTTCTGTCACAAAAATATCTTAACTTGGTCGCAACAGTCGAGTAAATAACCGTGTAACGATATCTCGCTATTAATGCATATTTCACTCCTGAAATCTCGGAGATAACTATGATTTTGAATCCTTTACACCAATTAAAGGTTATCTGGATTCTCTATAAATACCTTTAAATTAAAAGGGAGAGGTAGTTGATATTAAGATTTTTTAGCAAATTCTAAACCATACTAACATTTGAAGTCCTAACTCATTTTCTTGCAGGATTTCAATCATCGAGTGCTCTTGGAGATTTTATTGGTTTAATCGAACTTCTTTGGTTGAAACACTAGTGATTAACATAGAGAGGAAGAGAACCTGAGTGGAGATAAATCGTGAAAGGTGTACCTCAAAAAGTAAATAAAAAATTTAAAAAAAATCGTGAAAGAGACAAAGAAAGTTACCTACAATTGGAATAGTGGGGAAGGAAACATATAAAAGGAGAGATAAAAGGAAGATGGGAGAGATTGGGGTGAAATCTGATTTGAAAAAATATATATTATTAAATTTGTTAATCCTTAATTTCAAATTTCAAACTTTATATATTAATATACTTTTTAATTTTGTTTTCTTTTAATTATTTTTATGTTTTTTCTTTTATTTATTTTAGGAACGAGAGAAATAATTTGGCTTGAAAAGGAATTATGAATCTCAATACATTCCCTTCCAAATGCAAAAGAAAACTTAAAAGAAAATGTACCTGTGAGAGAGGAAAAGAAGAAGCTAAACAAACAGGGAAATACTCTCCTTAGCATGGTTCTAAATATCCGTCGACACATCGATATTTTTATCGACATATCCATGTTTTCATAGGTTCGACATCGACATAAGGGGTGAATCGACATTTCTTTCGTAGTACAATAAAATCGACAAAATATGAAAAGTATCAATAAAATGTCACTAATATATATATAATATTAATTTAATTATTTTTAACTAATTTAGAAATGAGAAAATATTTATTTGTTAATTTAAATATTTTTTACGATTTTTTAATTTGATATTTCCATCAATATTTCTATGAAGTTGAGACTTCGACATTTCCATCGATATCGACATTTAAAACCTTACTTCTTAGACGTGAATGAAACGAAAAAAATAAGAAGAATAATATATTTTAAAAATAACAAATAAAACTTACATCCTTTATTTAAGGAGAGGAGAATTTACATCCCACACATTGTAGTTTACTCCCAATTTTAGATCGGTGTAATGTTAGTGGATTGATAAATAAAAATAAAAACAAAAACAAATGCTACTACTTAAATTTGAATAAGATTAGAATTTCAAATTTATAAACCGACTTAAAAATAAATAAATGAGTTCGTCTATAAAAAGGACAAAGAACAACAATTCAATTGATATGTATCAAGAATGAAGAAGATATCAAAATACTCAAAATCTAGGAAATTCAGAATATTATATGCAGTAAATATAAAAATCAGATCGTGTTAAATAAATAGATTAAAAAAAATTGCAGCCAACAAAATATCCCACAAAATCACTAAAAATATAAAATTAATGTGCAAACTTAATTTTCATATTCAGTATTAAATTGCAGCATGCATTTTACAATTTAAAATGAGTGAAAATATAATATAGTACATAAAATTTAAAACCTTACGTTCGAGCTCAAGGAGGCTAAATATAGAAAGTTCAAAATTCGAGTTTCACGATTTTTCTCTGTATATGTTCCCTTTCAATGGCAATAGGAAATTTGAAGAAAAATGAAGGGAAGATGAAAATGTGTGACACAAAGGAAATACTTTGTAGGACGGGGGAGGAAAAAGTAAGAATTTCACAGCTTCACTTCACACTGAAGGTAAGGCTAGATTTTTCCACAACAAGTATCTAGCAGATTTTTTTTTAAATAATTACTTTTTAAAAACAAATGACAAAAGTAGGGTAGGATCAAAACATATTCCAAAAATAGGAATGGCCGCGATTTCACTGAAGTCGCAGCCACGGTTTGACGTGGCTCCACGTGGAGCCACGTCTCAGAAGTATGGCTGCGACTTCCATTCTGACTTGGCTGCGACTTGCTAGGGTTTCGGTGGGGACAAAATTGTCCCCACCCGTGACCCCCTCCCCCATTCTTACTTTTTCTTTCTTTCTTCCATG